TTTTTTTTTTTTATTTATTTATTTATTTATTTTTTCTTTTTTTTTGTCCCGGTGGTTTAAAATACGAATTGATGCCTCGGATCGGGCATCCCAAAAACCCATCCGGATCGGTGAATCAGTGATCCGAATCAGGAATCGATCGAATTAAGCCTTAAAAAAAATCTAAAAAATTATTAAAATTCATTATAAATGTTTTTTAGGAATCCAATAAAAAATGGGGGTACTCCATTAAGATTTTTCATTTTTTTGCATCAATATGTGAATATTGAGATGTTATTTCCTGTACGAATTATTGTTAACCATTAAATTTGCATCACACAAAAGACGAAACATTGAATTATCATGGATGAAGTATATGATCATACATGGACTATAATAAATTAATAATACAAACAAATTAATTTACTGTTATAACAAAAATAATACATTATAATACTTTATAGCACAAATAAACTAATAAATAAAATACAAGAATTAATTATCAATGTATAATTATTATTTACAATATTATAACAACTATGATTCAAAAAATATTAAAAAACACTTCCATATCATACGATAAAAATTAAAATAAATTCCCTTATAATTGTGAATATTATGACATTACACAATTATTCAAGAAAAGATTTTCACCTAAGAATACAAATCAAAATTCAGAAAAAAATAAAAAGAAAAAAATAAATTACATATCATATATCGTAGTATTTTGCAAAGTATAAGATATACGCTACAATTTTTATGTCAATAAGCGTTCACAAGGGGAAACTGAACCACATCGTTCTCATTGAGAAGAAAATCTACCTATAAAAGGTAGAGAATGCATTGGGGTGGTAATAAAATCCAACGCATAAGAGAGACGTGACCAATGCTTTCCATGGGAAGTTGATGACGTGGGAGGATGGAATGTTGGGAAGATTGGACCCAACAAAAATACCCAACAAATTTGCTGAGGTTGGGAAGATTGGACCCAACAAATTGTGCTTGACGTTATTGTGCTTGACGTTGGCTCTCAACAAATTGCTCGACGTTTTCCATGGGTAGATGGACTTGATAGTTGTCCCACTTCAAAGAGATGTGGGAACAACATGGCCTATAAAACAAATTGCTCGATCTTTCAGAGTGTCGTGTGATGTGGTTGTGGTACAGGGCACATTGCATGTTGTGATGACTTCGAGGTTAATGGTAAGGAGAGAATATTTTAATAGACAAAAGGAGCTAATATTTTAATAGACAAATGGGGTAAGGAGAGATTATTGTAATTGAAAAATGACAAAAAGGAGGACAGGTCAGGAGGGCGGAATATTTTAATGGAAAAAAATAAAGGAAAAATGGTATGGACATTCTGTCAAGCGCGATCCCATTACTATACAGATCCGGAACAGTACAGTCGATATCCGATCCGGATTGGCCGATTCCAGATTGGATCGACAATTTTTAAAACACTGGTTGTGCCTAAGTGTGGCACATACACCCTCAAAATTTCATGTGCATCCAATTTGTAAATAAATAAATAAAATTAAAAAACTTACAGGCTACAGGGGCCGTCCTTCTCCCCTTTTAATCTGAACCATTGGGCATAGACTATTGCATATGCGAGTAGGAGTTCCAAATCATTTTCCTATATGTATATAATATATATACACAAATTTTATATATACAATCAAATCAAAACATTCAGGGCCATCCACCACCCTTAATTATCTAAAATGGTGATTATAATCAAGCCATCGTTGCAAGAGCTTCACTATATGGTAATGCTTTGGCACCGTTGCTTCTTCGCAGCATTTGAATGTTCACTCCAATGCATTAGGGTTATGGAAAATCATACCCCATTGACCGCCAATACTGTCACCTAAACTATGCCGTAATGCATAACCGGCACTTTCCCAATGAAGCATAAACTTTTAAGCATGGTAATGGCTTCTCAAAGCTCAAGACCATGTTCTTTGACAATAACAGGTAAGACATATTTAAGATCACATCCATGTTTTCAACTACCAAGTTCAAAATCAATTTATCAGGGTATCAGGTTTTATCCTTGTAACTTTTGCGTAAGTATATATGTAATGATTACTCGACTATTGGGAAAGACAAGGCCTAATAGAAACTTAGAGAAAAAAAGAAAAGAAGAAGAAGTTTAAAATACTGAGACTGAATTCCAAAGTCACCTTGAAAACCTTTTGCCAAACACTCTCTTGGCCAGTGAATGCTAATGGTAAGTTAACCCCTTGCAGAGCCATCCAGTCGATTTCTTTCTCCCATCTTTCCCAGTCCCACCAAACATATGAATCTGAAAGAGTAGCAAAACAGTTATCATGCGTTGAATAAGAAGAAAGTTAACTATCAGATCAGAGTACTAAATCTGCTAATAATCAAGCAGCTCAGCAATTAATCTGGTCAGACAACTTTCACAGTTTGGCTTATTCTGTATGTCATGTATTGTTAGCTATCTCGTAAATAAGAAAAAAGAAGGAAAAAAAAATCACAATACTCACAGCTAGAGGTAACAACATTTTGATAATAGCTCCATGGAACTGGGCGCTGAACCATCACTCCGTTGCCTTGAACACGTGGTAACAATCCAGGATCAGGAATAGAAACTATTTGCGTACCACCAGTTTTGTCCCATGACACATGAGCACCACACCAATACTTTATATACCAATGAAGGCCAGCAGCAATCTCAACTGCCGTAGCACCTTCAATTCTGGAAAATACAGCGAGACCAAAAATCCAAAGTTGATTTAAATAACAAAATAAGCACTCCAAACAGCACGGTTTTGCCCATAATTGAACAGAAACGCTTTTTAAAAGGGAAATCATAGCAATAATAAGAGTCTTAAAGCAAGGACTCAGAGCAGGACTTGCTAGGGTCCCCAGGCCGATTCTGTCAGACATATCTAAGAGCCTACTTGCCTACACATATAAGGCGTTGGAAACCTAACCAGCTTTTGTTCCCACAAAGCATGGAGGGGAGATCATTTCTCTCCACAAATCAAGGGCAAAAAGGAAAAGATCGAGATCTACAGGGAGAAAAATTTGTGAGGAAGAGCAGCATGGAATTAGATCCGACATATTCAAGCAATCCCTATTTTGACTGGATTTATTGGGTGAACCTGTGCCCTCCTAGGCGCACCCAAATGCTCCAGAATTGAATGAAAGCCAACAAGTTTTTCATGAATGGGTCTGTCATCCATATTGCAGAGTTAATGCAATATGGCACTCATCAAAAAAAGGCCCAAACTATATAAAATCAGCATGGATAATTTATAGCAAGCTATGTTTTTTGCAGTTATATTACTCAAAATCACTCATATTTATATGGCAGATCTGCGTAGACTGCTAAACACGTCTAGTTCTATCTTTGAACACACTCCATCAGGAATTGTTCCACAACATTCACTTTTTAAACCCACTTGTTTGGAAAAAAAAACACAAATAAACCCGAAAATCCATTTGGTCTCACAATAGTACCTTTTATGCTTTCAGTTGCATTTAATGCTAAACTATGCACTTACATGGTCAACACCAACACAGCCTTAAAAGATAAACCTATGACATAAATGAAAAAGCTAACAGTAAAAGCTACTAGTAACACGTAAAGATCAATCAATAGAACTGGCTTCAACAAATAGACAACTGTCCGACTCAAACTCACCAGGGTTACACAGAGTCGGCAAGCTGCAGAGTCTGGGGAATTATAAAAAAAAGACTTGCGGACCAGCCAAGTCTCACCAACCTTTTATCGTTAATTTTTCCAAGACTCAGCCAAGTCTCTAAGAATCATTCGAGTTGAGTTGTTTGACTCGGCTCAGGAACCTAGTAAGGCCTGACCAAAGTCCTTGCTTTAGAACACTTGCATAGACTGGTTTTAAATTCCTCGATTTAAAACTATGAATCAGCATGGAACTTGGCCGAGTTGCTAGCCAAGCCATATTATTGACTCAATTCAGTCAAGTCAGAGTACAACTCAGACAAGTCTTGAGAAAACAGCATATAACGGCCAGATGCGGGTGAGCCTGAATCGACTATGCAAGTTCTAAAGCACTCATTTAAGCTAAACCTACTGCACATATTTTTCTAGAGTCACCAATTAACAAGTGTTCACATTGTGATTTTGCCCATTTATGCCATGAATTTTGTATACTTTTCTTCTTAAAAATGAATTTTTCATTCATAAAGAAAAAGGAAGGAAAAGGAACCATACATACAACATCTCTGGACTTCCTATCACGCCTGAATTGTTGAAGTTCTTGATCCAGAAGCAACTCACACCACCACAAAGATCCTAAAATGTCAAACATCAGACTATTAACATGTGCATATTTTTCATATTAAATATATTAAGAATGCAAAAGCATCACTGACCAAAATTTATGACAATATATAGTCATGTGCCATGGTTGTATCCTAAAATCTAAATGCAACTTGACGCTTGCCTCTTCTTTGATAAACTATCAAGAGGAGAAAGAGAAAATGAAGAAACACAACATAAGGATCTCCAGACTCCAGGAGTGATAGATAAGGTGGAAATTTAAAATCATCCCACTGAAGTGATGCTCCTCCTACAGAATCCTGGTTCCTGTACTTTGAATAAGTGGCTCGTTTCGCCCAAGGTTGAGAAAACATTCATAATAAAACAGAATGGAGATGGTCCTTTTCCATTGTATAATGTTAACAGGTGTTATAAAGAGAAAAATGGCATTTTACGCAAAAAGGGAAAAAAGGTGAAAGATGGAGAAAGGGGCAATATATTAGAGAAAAAAGGAGAGCATAACAAACAAAATATTTTAAAACTATATTAGCTCTTTTATACAAAATGGCCATTATAAAGGAAGAAACAGATGTTAGATCCATTATTTCTATAAAAAAAAAGGTCGCTTTTTTTTATATTATTTCATTGATTTTGAACCCATTATAAAGGCTGTTATGGTGTTATATAGTGGTCTTTACAAAAATGAAATAAGGGCCGTTATTTTTGGTACAAACCGTTTTTCAACCTCCCACCCATCAGCTTTATATAATGTCACAATTAGGAAGTGTTTCCCAATTATGGCTATTATAACCATCATCATGGCCATTTTGTAAACCTTGGTTTGGCCACACCAAAAACCACAGTAAAATCTGGGACCAAACCTAGTCCAATCTTTCCCCAGCAGTAAATACATAATCATATGTTCATACAAGGATACACAAACACAACAGAAAATAGAACATTACAATGGAATCATATGTATGTGTAGGGTATGCATGTGATCAAGCAAAATAAAGAAGTGTGCACGTAAAAGAAAGAGAAATGGAAACATACATGCACACGCACACACAAGCAATAGTTTTGTAAAGTATGTCACATAGAATATCAATATAGAGGGGTCTAATTATTTATGTAGCATTTAACAGTATCACATTAGTACTGAAGATAATATTAATATGGAGATAATATAAATGAAATATCAGATCTGCAAGCTTGGCTCATCTTTTCTTCTTTAAAGTGTCAGGCTTCTCACAATTATCGTTTTCCTGATAATTACTTCTTACAATATTTTTGCAACGTAAGAGCAGATGATCTTCAAGCAGGCAAAAAGCATCGAGGCAAATATCTCATTGTAGGCGTGAGCTAGCAAAGCAAGCTGCACTTGTTTGCTTTGCTTCTTTTAATCTTTTTGCTTCTTTTTTTTTTTTTCTTTTTTTTTTTCCCCTTTTGTGGGCTGGGTGAGTGGGGGGTGATTTGTTTTAGTTCAATAGTAGGAGTTAAACTTGGGACATAGTGTTGCAACCGTCAATCACTAACCATCCAAGCCCAAGCCCACTTCCCATAGTCTAGAGGTAAGAGACGTCCTCCTTTTTTCTTGTGGGATAGGGATTGGAACTCTTGATGTCCTAATTTAATGCCATTGCCCTAACCACTAAGCTAACACCTATTTCTTTTAGGCACACCTTTGGACACTCAATTTTAAAGTTTATTGATGGCATGTGTCTTGCACAATTCTAAGAGCAATGGTCAACAATCATGTTGCTATGGTATCCATTGCTTATTGTTGTCATTGCTTATTGTTGTCCTTGCTTGATGTGTATATAATTATAAATCTCCTGTGACTAGTTGAGAAAGTTAAGAATAGCATACAGCAATGGCACGAAATGATGACGAAAATTGCTAAAGCCAAATAAAAAATATAAAACACTTGTAATGCATCTCATTTACTCTGATGAAATTAACAATTTGAAAGCTTCGAAATCATTTAAAAGCTCATAGATTGTGTCTTACGCCACTAATAGCTACAGCTCAAATAGCTCTCTGAGCTTCACACTTGTCTGAAGTCAAAGCAGCTAACACTATGCTAATTTCCTAGAATCTGTTAGCTTCTGAAATATAACTACTTGTAGAGTTTTCTCCCTATTCAGTCATCTCCACATGTTTAAGTTTAATACTTGTACTCTATTCATATCTTAATATAAAGCATAGGACTGCAACATGTAGCAAGACATCAAAATAATTAAGATTACAAGCAAAATAGGATGCAATCTAGGGCCTGGTTTCTGAATACAATGCTAACAAATTCCAGATTTCGATGCAACAGGTCAATCAAATGAAATGCATAAAAAGGTAGCGGATGTTCAGAAACCACCCCAAGTGAAATATAAAACCATTGAAATTTCGCAAGCATATGCAACATCAATAAACTCCTTGAGCAAAGATAAAAGAACAAATGAAGAAAGGAATATTCATGGATAACGTATCACAAACTAGGGAGAGAGAAGAGTTAGCAAGTGAATTTACCTTGGAGATGACCCTAAATTCAAAGCTAGAAGAGTGAGAAGGCAAGAGCCTTTGTAAGACTCCCTTCACTGCAGCTTCTTGCACAGATGGAGAAGACCTTTGACTCTCAGCCATGTGAATCAATCCGTCAAGCCCTTTATCAGGCCTGGCAAACGCCAACGAGATGGAGACCAACACTATGAAGATTATCGCCATTAAGGACCAGCACATTTGATCAAAATAGTTCAGGCTTCATATGAATCTCAAAACTGGAGGAGAATCGCGATAGACACAATAAGCATTCAATCAATTCAGTTCTCACTACATGAAGAAGATGGCCATTGAAACACACAGATAATGATCAAAAGCAGTTACGGCATCATGTTAAGGTAAAACCATGAGTAAAGCAGAAATGGCATCATTTTCAAGGTCAAATTGGGAGTAAGAACTCCATTGAAGTACAGAGAACTCGAAAACCAGGAGGAGAACCAATTTCGAATCAATCAGCTCATTGAACACAAAGACCATGAGTAAGATAGCTTTTGAAACCCATCTCTAATAATCATGGCTGACATGGCGCCATTTTGAGCCAAAAACAAGTAGAAAACCACGGGTGAAGATCAGACGAGACGTCCAGACACAGTTATGGTGATAATAGAAATCATGCTGTCAATTGAACAAAAAGCAAGTCGAAAACCACCATTAAAGACTACAAATAACACAGACGCCACATCTGAGCTCTCACCTACTTTGGCGCTCGAGCCATATCCATTGAAGCTTCGAAATCTTTAATTCTAGGTCGAAAAATTACGGCAGAGAGATTAGATTATTACAAAAGTATACATGAAAGACCCCGTGGCCCCCTAAATACTGACTACTAACAGTCTGGCGCCTACAAAAGTTTAAATAATGGCGCCCGGCCTCTACGAGGTACCTAATATAAAGAGGCAATTTAATAGAAGTGCCTGGAGTCTGTAAAAGAAACTTATATATTCGCAATAAGTGCATGAGCGTTTTTTCTTTTTCATTGCTACTTCAAGCTAGAACAAATATCGGCAAGATGGTTCAGGCACGTAAAAGTTCAACGAGGTAGTTCGCCAATCAAATTTATTACAAGTGTTTGCTTTACACATTGGGTTCTACTTTGATACCTTCTGAGTGATTTTGTCAAAACATTGCCCAAATTGTCATGGAAAAGTATATAACTATAATATTTATCTTTGGAACGTGGAGATTGTAATTAATCTTGACTACTGGATGAGAAATTTGGTGGGTGCATTTGTTGTAGTCCCAAAATTCAAAATAATTTTTTGAATTTTGTGACAAACCTGAGATATCGGGTTTTACATTTGACAAGTATATATAATTGTGACTGTATTGTACCGCACGTAAATGATCTTATAGTATATAATCTCATTTATCTTTATTTGGGTTTTGAAACCTATAAATAATTTGAGGTTTCTTTTAATTTGGATCAAGGGACTTGAGTACTAAATTATAAAATGACTAATACAGAGTAAGGCTATTTATATTAGGTATATGGAAGTCACAATTATCAATGAATGATTGTTAGATTTAAAATTAAATAATTAATAATGCATCATTGATCAAGCTCAAAGTTCAAGAGACATTTTATCGATCTTTTTAATAGATCTTAAACTATAGGATTTGATACTGGAGGGTTTAGAGTTCTTATGACCTCCTTTTACCAAAACAAAATGGTTTTATTGTATGTGATCCCATTAGATAAATGCCTTCACGTGTTTTGAGCACAACACTTAGAGTAAAATAATTTAATGTTTGTTTGGCTCCTCGACAAACGAATCAAGAAAACAACTCAAATCTTGGATTTGAAATTTGTTGATAGATACAAATATTGGATCTCTAGGGATGGTGTTTGGAGAGAATCTAGATAAAACCGTGGTTTTATATTTTTCCTCTCTAGTAAATTTGTTGTAAAACCCTATTTACCAATTTCATTCTAATTTCAAATTACAAGAGGCTTACTATTTTTCCTTTTTGTTTTTTCTTTGTTTTAGATCCTTTTATATTTTTTTGTATTCTCCCCACAATGGCCACAACATGTTTCGTTCACGTAAAGTTATTTTCCAAAAAATATTTTTATATGAAAAATTTATTCTCAAGTTAAGTATGAGAATGATTTTACATCGATTAGTTGCCAATTATTGTGAAAAGATGCATAAAAATTAATTTGTATGAAATTATCCCCACACTTAACCAAATAAGAGAATCTTTAATGTGAAAATATTTTCTAAAAAACAACACTGAAAGACTCACATAATTGACATTTCATGGTATCTTCACCACTATTGAAGCCAAAATTTATTTTAACCAATAGAAAATAGGCACAAAAGAACAAATAATAACAAAAAGGTAACTCAATCTGCCAATTCGTTGTAACCCCAATACAGGCATTAGCATTCAAAGCATTTTTTAGGGTTTTCAGGATCCTTGTCCTTATGTTATGTTTCATATTTTCATATGTTTTTCTCACCAAAGAGACAATCACCATAAAACAAAGGGAGCAAATTGGTGGTGGCCCACTTTTTCCTTGCTAAATTAAATGTCTTGTATAGTAATAAATAATTTGGGTGGATAAGCAGCCTATGCTTAGTTTTGAAGATTCCCGGTAGTCAAGCCAAAGCACAAAGTCCCAACACAAGGAACATCAACACAACAAAAAGATATTCCTTGAAATTCAGTTTGTTTAATAAAAGTCATAAAATTGTAGTTTTAATGTGTATTCTCACGTCCCAACACGACAAAAAGAGATTCCTTGAAATTCAGTTTGTTTAATAAAAATCATAAAATTGTAGATTGAATGTGTATTCTCACATATTTATCATCCTGCATTTCCAACAAGTTATAACTTTGGAAAAGGTTAAAATAAGGCCAAAGCTTTGTGGAAATAAAAGTAAAACCTTATATTAAATCTCATTGAAAAATATAGTTTCGGTGTCGGAAATCATTCAAATTGATCATCTCGACCTTGATCATTATGGTTGTGAAGTAAAATTAGGATTTCAAGTCCTAAAAAATTATGTATATTGTAATATCTTATCTAGACCGTCCATTTTCAAGTTTGATTCACAAGATCTATATCATTTTTTTAGCTGCAAATTTCATATTCAAGTATGGAAAATAGCTTTTAGAGCCATCTTAGGAATTTCTCACGGCTAGAGTGCATTCTAGATAACATTTCAAAGTGACTTTTTACTTTTTCTTCATAAGGTCCGGTCCTCATAGAAACTTTATTATTTTAAGTTTGGATGTGGTTTGTATAAGTCTGAGGCCCTAAACCATCAAAGTAAGGCACACCTTTAAATAGTACTGAAAGATATCATTTCAGTACTACAAATAATAGTTATGGCCGAAAATTTTATTTTCATTTCAAATTATAAAATTTAAAGCCCCAAAAATAGTGTAAATCGATTAGATCTATGAATACTAGAAAATTGACAGTCCAACAAATGCATTATAAGATGCACTATTTTCAATTATTGAAATCTATTTTTTCTTATGTCCGTACATCTTGAGGTCGAGTTGATCAATTTGAGGATTTTTGGGCATCAAAACAAGTTACAGTGAATTCTTGAGGTGCGTCTTAATTTGATTGTTTAGTGCCTCACCCCTATATAAACTTCTTCCTTTTAAGTTTGGGACGAGTTTATATAAAGCGGAGGCTCTTATCAATCAAATTTGAGCCTACCTCAAAGCTTTCACTAGAAGATGTTGTTTTGATGCTCAAAATATCCTCAAATTGACCATCTCGACATCAAGATGTATGAAAATGAGAAAAAATATGATTTCAAGTTTGGGAAATAGTATATTTGTAACGCATTTTTGGACCGTCAATTTTCAAGATTATCAAGTTTTTATAGATATATTGATCTGTGCTATTTTTGAAGCTTTAAACTTCATAAATAAAAATGAAAATATATTTTAAAACTATCACAAAAATTTTCAGTATTGAAATTACATTTCTCGACACTATTTGAAGGTAGGCTCTAATTTGATTGTTTAGAGCGTACGATCTATACAAACCGCACCCTTTAAGTTTTAGTATGTCAGCCAATGCATCCAATTAAATGCGGTGCCCCTTCCAAAATCCATTTTAGAGATAGTTCTATGGATACACAATAGACATTTCTTGTGGAAAACATAGCAGATACTAAAATGAAAAAGTTCAAATGTCCCATGCCAGGAAACATTCAATACGAAATTCTACATAGGGTGGATAAAGGCCTAGGCTTTATGGTAAAAAGTACAGCCTCGCCTTAAAATCCGGTCGAAAAATGCTGTTTTGATGCCAAAATTCCGTATGATTATTGGGAATCTATTTTGGCCTAAATTATGAAATTTGAAGCTTAAAAAATGGTTCAAATCTAATCATATGTGAACTCTTGAAAAAAAAAATGGCCCACATAGCCTCTAACACACTGGTGTGGTTTGTATAAATCTGAGGCCTATAAAATCAAAGTAAGACACACCTTCAAATAGTATTGAAAATTATTTCTCATGTCTATATGTCTTAAGCCTCAGATGATTAATTTAAGAATTTTTGGGAATCAGAGTAACTTCTTTTAGGGCTTGTTTGTTTTTATGAAAGTATTCTTCCAGATTTTTAAAAAGTTTAAAAACTAATCTTTCAACAAAAGTTTCAATTCCTTTGTTAAAAAAGCGAAACAATAAATTCCTGGGTAGGGGGGGGGGGGGGGGGGGGGTTGGTGGGTAGGAATTTAATCTTTCAAAAAAATTTTGTTGATCACTATTCACTATGCTTAACATAATATTAATATGATATAATATAATATTACTATAATATACTATTATATAAGATTATATTTTATATATGAAATATATAATATTATATTAAGTATAATATAAAATATTATATTTTATATTATACTTAATATTATATATAATAATTATATTATTACATTATATAATATATGTTTATTGTATTAAATATATATTATATGTAATATTTATATTGTTGTATTATATATTATATAATATAATAATATATAATATATATTTATATATAATAGAAT